TTATTATTATTATTATTATTATTATTATTATTATTATTATTATTATTATTATTATTATTATTATTATTGTTATTATTGTTGTTGTTGTTGTTGTTGTTATTAAATTAATTAAATCTAAATGTCAATGTCAACGTCAATGTCAATATTAACGGCGTAGATCCCCCAAAAAAATATATCTAAAAAAAGTATTTACTGGAAAGTTTAATTAAAAGGCATATATATACAGTCTATATTTGTTATTATTGTTATTACTATTGTTGTTGTGATTGTAATTGATTTGTTTGCTTCCCCACACTTATAATTATTTTAATTGACTGATTGCAAGGTAATAGGTAAATTCGCCACATAACCATATCCAATAAATTAAAGACTAGGATAAATAAATAATAAACGGAGCAGCTATTTTGTTAATTGCGATATTACAACGGTAAATATTAGTTATATTTTATATTTTTGTGGTTATTATGATTTCCGGATACCTGTACTTTATTATTTATTAGACTAACGTGATAAAAAATGATATTATTGTGTGATAGGTTGATTATACTGAGTTATTAATTATTATTAATTAAACTTATTAAAGTTTCCATTTTTTCATTTAGTACCCGTAATAACAACTTTAAACGATAAAATAAAGTTTAAATTCCGTGTAATCTCTCACTCCTTGATTAATGGTTGATTGGTTCATTTCTTGATTGATAGATTGATTGATAGATTGATTTACTCATTCATTCATTCTTAAGAGAAAGAAAAAGAGAAAGAAAGATGGTTAATGTATATGCGAGTGAACATCCTGATTAATATCTGGTATTTTACAACAAAGATCTTAGATTTAAAGTTCACGGACATTATCAACAACGAAAGTAAAGCGCGGTAAATCTCATTTTTCATTTTCATTTTCATTTTATTCACATGGATATTCTCAACGCGTGGGTGAATCTTGATGTTTTAACAGCACGCAGACAATAGTTAATTACTTTATTGTTTGTGAATACGAATAAGTCAAATAGAAGAACAAAGTTAGGAAGAATAAGTATCAAAACGCCAAAATGATTGCGGTTAATGGTAATAATATTAAAAAAGATATTATCAGTATACACAAATAAGTATTAGTAATTAATTGATCGCACAATTATAAATAGATTATAAATTTATTTATTTATTAATCTATCAGTTTTTTTTGTTTTTTGTTTTTTTGATTTAAACTTAAAAAAAATTGATTCTTGATTTCGACTTAAACTTAAAAAATATCATTTTTGATTTATTTTTAGTTTAGTTTGACTTTTATCTTCAATCATTTCATAACCTTATCGTTCCAATTATTGTTGCCTTGGCCATCTCCTTTCACTTATCATTATTATCAGTCATTGAACAATTCGGAATGGCAGATTATTGGAACCGAATGGAATAATAAATTGTGTGCTATTATTGTTGTTGCCTTAATTGCAGACATTTATTATTATAATAATGTTATTGTTATTACTATTATTGATAGATAATTAAAAGTACAAATAAAAATAATAGATATTGCTGTTGTTGTGATCCATATTAGTTAATATATACGCACGCACGCGCATATATACGTAATAGTAGATATATAGATAGATGTTCTTCTATAATAATAATAATAATAATAATAATAATAATAATAGTAATAATAGTAATCTGAACTAAACCAATCAAATAAAAACCGGTGCGGTTAATAAAAGTAATATGTACTAATAAAGGAAACAAACGTTTCTAATAAAAAACTAATTACAAAGCAATATTTATGATATTATTAATACTAATAACAGCAAATCGATTGTTACGTTTAACAGAAAACCAGGCATTGTGTCAATTTGCATAACATCCGACACTTACAATACTGCATAATGATAATATTATATGTTGATTATGATGATGACGATGCTGTGGTATTTACTTTCTTCATCTCTGTTGTAAATGATAAATAGAATTAATCTGTAGAATAAAGCAAAAAGGATAGAATAAAATGGAAAATAAAACTATACAATAACCCCAAAAATTGAAAAAACCATTTCTTATTTAATCGCGTGATTTTTTTTTTCCGTAATTGATTAATTAATTAAAGATAAAAACTAAACAAAGAAGTCATTTAAATATCAATTAGAATGTAAATTAGGTTATTGCTATTCCACAAATAATATTTTTCTTTTAACAAGGCATATATGTATGTGTGTATATATATTTATTTATATATATATATATCGAGCTTAAAAATAAACCCTGTATTAGCGTTTCGGTTTTTGAAAATTTTCAAAATGGGAAATTTAAAAAATTTTATTTTGCTTAATTTTCCGTGCAATACTTTCGGAACAGAAAATTAAACAAGGGAATGCCTTATAAAGAATGTCTAACCTGATTTTTTGAGATATTACTATTTTTAGTAAAATTCATATGTTAACAATGGTCATTATTATGCATTCATTCATTGTAATTTCATGTAAACAAAATAATGGCCAAGAATGGTGATGCGACCAATTATTTGCAAAACAATAGTCCAAATCTAGGTGGATTTTTAATACAATGATACATGACGTTACAAAAATTATTGAATTTTATTTATAAACCGTCAATATGTTACATAGACCGTTGTGTGTGGCTAATTTATTCAGCCCTTGTATAGGCTTATAAAATTAAAAAATCATTTGTTTATTTTATATATAACGCCGACTATTCCTATCAATATTATAACAAGGCAATTTACTAATTTAAAATAATGGAAGGTTCTATATTTTGTGTTTATTTATAGATAAACTTGTATAGGCATTCGATATCAATTATAAATTACCTATTCATCACTGTATATTAATATACATTTATTTGGGGTTGTTGTAAGCTAACAAGGCTTTACTAAATTTAATTTAATTATTATTTTGTCATTATTTTTCTATTAGTATTTTCCAAGTTTATCCCATCGTTTATTTAAATGCAAAATAAATATAAGTTAGTTCATTCAAACACTGGTTTTTTTTTTTTTTTAACAGCCTAAATTCAGTAAATTAATTTTGGAATAAAAAAATTGAATTCGAGTTTCTCTCTATTTATATTTATATGGGCAAAATAATTAAATGAATACGTAAATATCAAGTTCAGACAGGGTTTATAATTATACAAATATTTTTTTATTTTTATTTTTATTTTTATTTTTTTAATTTCAATATACCTTGTTTTTTATATTTTTTTTAAAATTGTACTACCCAATACGCGATTTTTATTTTTATTTTCTCTTTCGTTATTCTTTCAATTATATAAATATCCATATTAATATTTTTAATCTTTGGTATTTTATTCAAAACAAGAAATAAAATAAAAACCTTGTAAAGTGAGAACTCGAATAAAAACAAAAAAAGTCAATTTAATAAAAAAAATATATAATTTGCGATTCTTATTTACCAAAAGAAGTTTACAAAATAAAGATAAAAATATAATCACCTTTATTATCGTAATAATAAAACAATAATTGTAATAAAAAAAAGTATCGATTAGTATAATAATGACGATAATTAATTATAGATATTAAAATAAATTATAAACTATTTCTCGTTTATTACGCGGCAGCAACTGCGGCAACTATCTGTCTGTAGTCCACGGTGGATGACAGGCATTTACTTATTGGTGGAATTTAATAATAAATATTCATTAATAGTAAACAAGTTAAAATAAATCCGATGTTTATTTATCTCAAAAGACCGAACTGTTTTTCCGCGAATGCACGGTTAGTTTATAAAATTTTTTCAAATATAAATAAAAATATATATCACAATTATGTATGGATCTTATAAAAATTTTATCACTCACAATTTATTTTTTTTTATTTATGGATATTTATATAAAAACTTCATATTTATATAAAAACTTCGAATCTATTGTGTCACAACTAATTATTCATGAATCTTTATATAAAAATGTGGAATATATTCTCAAATTTGCAGAAGGAAAAATCATTTTTATTTTTTTATTTCAATAAGTTTATTTCTCAAAGAAATTTTTTTTTTTAAAAAAACAAACTGTTAACTGCGCCCATCATCAATTCACACGCTCATTAAAGAAAGATGCCTCCAATCCGCCATGCAAATAACTCCGCCGAAGATAACGATAATAATAATAATAATAATAACAATGACAATGAAAATGTCAATGATTCTTCTTTAAAATCTTTATCCTCTACATCACCATCTTCACCTTCATTTTTTTCAAACTTTTATTCTAAAAGCGTTGCTAATAATAATAGCACTACCACAAATCTCGAAAATGCTATTACTACCACCAGCACCAGTAGCAGTATTATTAGTAATGCTAGTTATTATCGTAGAACAAAAAGGTCACCAAGTCTAAATACTCGAGCTTCAAGAGTAGGTGTGACGAATTTTATCAATATAATCAAATCCCTACACGCCGGTGAGCAAATCCCTTACTTCCCAATTACAGAAAAACTGCTGGAAGAATACATCAATGCTAAACGAAAATCAATGATAAAATCCGGTTCATTGGAACAATATTTACAACACATACAAGCGTATAATATTTCTCTGGGATTTGGTTGGAATGGGCTCATTTTTGGTCCAATTATTAAAAAAGCGTTGGATGAGCTAAGAACGGTCGAAGAGGAAGCTATAAAGACAAGTTTGATTTTGCAACAGCATCACAATAATATCAATAATGATTCACTATCCAGTAATGATAAAGAAATGGTTATGATGATCATTGACGATGAAATAGATGGTAAGTAAATCATATTGTGCCTAGGGTTTGTATTCACGGATACCATGAATACCGTTAAGGAGGTTACACGCTAATAAATCAGCAAAAAATCCCAGTGTGGACCTCTTTACGTTATCCGTGAATACAAACCCTAATTGTGTCACGAATACCTTATTTAGAAATCGATTTGGCGATTGCGGATATTTTTTGCGGATAACTGCATGATAATTAGTATTGGTTGTCAAAACTATTTCTAAGAGACGAAAGTCAAAACTAAAATTAAAATTTATGTCAAAACTAATCAAAAGTCAATAGTCAAAAATCAAAACTAGTTTTGACTTTTGCACGGTCGCGAAACTCTCTAGTTTTGAAGTCAAAACTAAAATTAAAATTTATATGTCAAAACTAATCAAAAGTCAATAGTCAAAAATCAAAACTAGTTTTGACTTTTGCACGGTCGCGAAACTCTCTAGTTTTGGAAACCAACACTAATAATAATCCCTGAACGCACATTTCTAAAGCAATAATAATGATCATTCTAATTATATATGTTTACTGACGAATTGACTGTTATCATTATTATTTTTATAGAGCAGACGAAATCATCAAAAAAATTTACTGTGATATGTTTAGATGCCAACTCCAACGATTCCAGACAACTCGATCAGCAAATTGAGATTTATTTGGATGATATGAATTTTCCAAAATCAAACCAAACTTATAAAAATTTTCATTCCAACGTCGTTTCCTCAACCGCTTTTCCAACAAGTTGGGGTAATGTTGATGTCAAAAAACTTTATTATAAAGTGATTAGAAAGAATAAAAAAGAAAAAACCCCAGTTGAAAATAAAACCAAGGTTGTTGACGACGACGCCAAGGGTAACGAGACAATTATGATGATTGAAAATGATGACAGCAATAATAAAGATATAGGCGATAAGAATGTCGATGAGTCGAAAAAGACAACTGCCATCAAAAAGAAAGCTGTTGCGAGTAATAATAATGATTATTATTGCAACGATGTAATTATAGAATTAAACGATGAAGACAGCTTCAACAAATTTTGGAAGATTGTTAAAAATATATATAACGAAACCGACGATAAAGAAGACCTCAAGGGAAAAGGTGAAGGTGGACCAGTGAACCATGATAAAAATCCCGATGACAATGATGCAGAAGATGACGAATATGAGTGTGAAATACAATTAATTCTTTATCGAAAAAACAATGTTTTCAAAAATATTAATAATATTAGTAGTAATAATAACAATAATGGTAAGTACAAAGTAAATATTTTATAATACTGTTATTTATAAACTAATTAATCGCGTGTGTAATTAATTGTAGATACCACGTATTATTACTCTCCACACTCTCCTACAAGAAATTTTATTGCTGATAGTAATAGTAAGTATTATTTTTTTATTAATGATGTTAGCCGTTTAAAAATTCTTAGCTGGCTAACATCACTACTCTTAATGTTAAATAATCACTTTATGCTAACTGATTTTTTAAATACCTTTCTTTATTTAAACTAAAGCTTCAATTTATACTTCCCCCCCTCCTCCTCTATCCCCCCCTCCATCTTCGACGTTAAGAACTCCTCAACATAGACCATCACTAGAATTACAACAACAAAATATTATTCTTCCAGCGAAGCCATCAACAATTACGACAACAACACCTTTACATCAATTTCAATTACAACCCCCACCACCGCCTCAACCACCACCTTTACCACCGCCACTCAATTCACCTAATATTCTTCTTTCATCGTCATCATTGTCATTATCACCACCACTACAATCAACACCCAAAGTAACGACCCCATTATTAAAATCTGTAACAGTCAGATCTAAGAAAAAAGTTTATAAGCAAAAAGTTGCTGTATCAGATACAACCACATTTTCTTCAGTTGTTACGTTTGCTATAAATAATGCATCCGCTCCACCAAACAAACAATTCGTTATCAGATCAGCAGATAGCTCGCTCGAATATATCCCAAATGACTTGATCAGAGAAGTTATTTCAGGTGTTGAGCATACCGATATTGTAGTGAGCTTAGAAAATTCTCAAGGGGTTGATTTTGATTATTTTTAGTGAATAATAATAGTAGCGAATGTGTAAATATAATGATAATATAGAACGATGAGTATTACACATAGCAATATATATATATATATATATATATACGATAATATTGTAAATGAATAATAGCAAGCAACTATATATATTTGTAAATATCAAAGTGACAATTTATTATCAATTAGTTATTAATTTATTTTAATTATTAATTTATTATCGATTTTTATCACATAATAAATATATTTATATTTTTGTCCCTCCTTCTTATTTATTTTCTTCTTATCCTCCTCCTCTTCTTATTATATCGATCGATTTTAATGAATTAATTATTCATCGCAGATAACAACAACGATAGCGTTATAGTGATGATAACATAGTAATGGTAATAGCGATAGTAATGGTAATAGCGATAGTAATGATAACATTATAGTAATATAGTAGTAATACAGTAATATAATAATTAATTAATAATAATAATGTTAATAATGTTAATAATGTTAATAATGTTAATAATAATTTTTTTAAAAACCATGTATTTAAAACCTTTAAATTTTAAAATAAAAAAAAATATAGATAAATTTTACAAAAAAGGATGTTCAATGTTCAACTCAATATTCGCTACTGTATTATTTTTTTGGAAAACATGGGATAAAAAAAACAAGGTATGTAAAAAAAAATTTTTTTCAAATGCATCAAAATGGTTTGTCGGCTTTTTGTTTTACTAGTACTAATACATGTTATTTATTTATTATATGGTTTTTTTTTTCTATTTTGTATTTAATTGCAAAGTTTAACTGAGAGATATTTTCAAATTGTCCACACATTCACTGATTTTAGAATAATTAATCAATGTGTGTTTTGTTGTTCATATTTCTACTTTATTTGATGTTATTTAATACGAGATTACCTTCAAACACTTGATTTGAAAATTTTAAGAAGTCAAAAAAAGCATAAAGAACATACTAGTAATAGAAAAATTATTTTCTAATGTAATTGGGCGAAGTTTTTCATATGAATGATTAAAAATTTTTTTTTTATCATTATAAATTAAGTATAAAATATTCGCGTGTAACAACCATATAATAAAGTTGAGTGGGACAAGCCCGCTATAGAAAATTTGTAAATTATTATCATGTGATCTATTTATAATATGATACAGGGCTTTTTTATTTACGCAATAAAGATAAAAATATAACCATTGTTTTATTATTATCATTCGCTAATTTACTTATTCATTATATTAAAAAAGCTATCTAATACTAATATTGATTGTCTCGTCGGGTGCGAATCAAAATCATTTAATCAATGATATAACTATAAATGTATTGTTTACAATACAAACAATTTTATTCGCAAGGTTAATACTATAAACATTGTTATGTATAATTAAAATCACACGTCACTAAAAATAGTAATGATGACCTTTTAAAAAAAATTTTTTTTAAATTTGAAATCATGTGATACATGATCTATAGAAAATTTAATTAAGAAATCCCCGTTATAGAGTAAGATTTTTAAACAGTAAAAAGATTGGGTTTTAATTCTCAGTTCACTATTATTATAGAGTGAAGAACTTTGTAGAAAAGGCCGTGACGTATGAAATTCAGGTAAACAAAAATCCATATTTTTGAACATGTGGTTCTACTTTTGCCATCCAACAAGACAAATTAAATAGTAGCATTCATTCCATTTTTTTCATTAAAATTATCAAATCAACTTTACTTTTATATGTAAAACAAAGTATAGATTATTGTTTAAACTTCTGCCATCCAGCAGTTGTCAATACCCATAAAGTTTTATTAGAGGTAAATCTTTAATGTAGCAATTTTTAATTTACTAATGAAGAGATTAATATTTGCATACAATTTATAAAAAATTGTAAGAGAAACGTTTACTTTTTATCAATTAGAAAATTGACATTTTCATTTTAAATATTTATAATACTTCATTAAATAGATATGTATATAATAGTAATCAATTATTTGTTTATTTGTTTATATAATATATATATAATATAGTGGACGGATATATGTAGTTGTCCAGGACTATACTTCACATAATTGTATATATTGTATTATATCATTTCCTATAAAACACTTATGAAATTGGTTTAATCAATGCGTCAAATAGAAATGGTACATTAAAAGCAGAGACGATAGCATCAGCAGTATCAAAAGTTCCAAATTATGTAAAAATGTGTGTTCCAGGGATGAATAAAGAATTATTATGTCATTGTATATATATTGCAATAATGTAAGAAGAATTATTATTATGGGAAGTTTACTAACGTTATAATTTGAAATACTTATTTTTTTCCATGTATTTTCTTTCAAATAAAAATGCCTCCTCTTTTTTACAAATTAAATCCATTCTTTTATTATTACATTACATAAAATCTCCTTTTTTCTTGTCTTTACCACAACAATAAATTCACATTATAATGCAAACCCTTTAGTCAAATAATGTCAATAGCAGGTTGTGCACCATTAACGAATTCTTCAAATTGACTATACCATAATCTTGTCTTTTTTGTTGTGTTTGAAACAACATAAGTTGATCAATATTGGTTCTTAGAACGACCTTTACATAGCAAATTTTTGATACATATTTTTGTAAGTTTTAATTTTGTTTCTGTTTTACCATAATAAATCCGATCATTGGAGTTTGATGGTGATGATGAAGTTCTTTAAATAATGCAGTTTTCACTTTTCAATTAATATACTTATCAATTAATACTGTCAGAGAAAAACTTAAAGGCAATCAAAAAATGCTGTACAAAAGAATTATCATTCAGTTCTCCGCAAAGAAAAACAAATTTTTAAACGAAAACATAACAGAGTTTTGTGAAATGTAGATTAGCATTATAACGCGATGATATTCTGGAATCATACATAATATCAAGGTTGTGAAATTTCGCTGTACGAGAAGAATCTTCGTACGTACGACTGACTTCGTACCATTGACTTCGTACAGGTTCTACACCCGTACGAGGAAATTTTACATATGTACAATCTATCAGGAACGATTATTTTCTGTAGTGATAAAATATTACACTGGAAAATCCTATTAACAATTAACGGATTACTTTACCAGGTGTTGTAACGGGGGGTTCGTAATGCTACTTCTGTGGTACGTTATTATTATTATTATTATTATTATAGTAACAGTTCCATGATTTCTATATTTTTATTATTATTATTATTAATAAGAATAATAATAAAGAGAGTATATAATGAATAAAAAAATCACCCCTACATTCTTTAATTATTATCAATTATTGAAAACATATCCGTATTTTTCAAGCGTATACAGCCATTAATTCCACAATTCTTTTATTCCAATGGTTAAAGCTTTGAAATATTACATTGTTGAAACAAAACAAAAAAGTGGTTCTAGTAACAAATCATGTTACTGCAAAACCTGCTTTATTAAACTTGGTGAAAACAGCAATGAATTAAAAACAATAGTAGATAAAACTGAACATATAATTCAACATTTTAATGATTGTCAAAATTTTCATGTTGTGTATAGCCAAGAAGAAAAACTTAAAATACTAATTTTTTTAATTAATTTATTTAATTAATTTAATTTAATTAACAATTTATTTAATTATTACATGAATTAATTTCTTTCCTATTAGGATTAAATTCTACTTCATCTCAATCATCTAATTATGGTCCTTTAGATAATTTTGTTACCAGACCTTTATCTAAAGCAGATAATGAAGTTTTTCATAAACTTCTATTAAAAGCCACTATTTCTTGTGTTTTCCATTATCTTGGGTGAATAATCAAGAAATGACAGAATTAGTTAAATTTCTCAACCCATATATCAAACTACCAGATAGAAAAACCCTTTCCACTAAACTATTGAATGATGCAGTTAAAGAATATGACAATGTCATGTTAGAAAAATTAAGATTAGATCAAATAGGTGTCACATGGGTCTGATTCATTTTGTCAACAATCATTTTGTCGACAGTCATTTTGTCAACAGTCATTTCATCAAAAGTTTGTTTCGTCAAAAGTTTATTTTCATCGAAAGTTCATTTTGTCAAAATTATTTTGTCACAAAAAAAAAACTTCATTAAACAAATTTCTCCTTGCACTTTGCTTTCCTTGCCTAATTAAGCAATTAAAAACAGAAGCAAAAGTCAAGCTCCAAAAATTACAAAGGCTAATCAAAAAGGAAAAGCTTCACAATCAAGAAATGATTGCTCAGGTAGAAGTTAAGTCTAAATAACAAGTAAATTACAATGAGAGAACTGGAATAGACAGTTTTAGAATTAGAAAAGGAAAGTAAAAAAACTTGTGATTTCTGCTCTAAACTTGAGAATAGAAATAACAAATCTGTTCATCAAATAAGAGCACATAGTAAAGTAACTGGGGAATGAATTTCAGATGATGTGAAAGATGCAAAGAAAAATATTGGAATGATGAATTGTCAAAGTGCAATAGATGTGGTAGGTTGCAAACTAAGTTAGATTTTGATATTGTTAATGGTAAGAATGTTTGCTACTGTATTTGAAACAATGAAGATTTAGAAGAGAAGGAACTTCCTCTCTTACCTCATGAAGAAATAAGTCAATCTACTTTTTATGAGAGACAAATAAACTCCCTAAAAGAACAACTAAACAAGACTGAAGAAGCCTTAGGAGGAAGTAATTAAATTTCAAGAAAAGTCTGAGGAATGAGGTAAGAGGCAAAAGCAAGAACTTTTGGATAGAATAAAAGAATTGGAGACTGAACTAGAAAGATTAAAAAAATTAACCCCTAAAGAACTAGTTGATAAATTAAGTGTTAAAGAAAAGGAAATCAATGATTTAAAAGTTCAATTAACCCAATTGCAACAACAGAATAGTCAAATTGCTCAAATTGAAGTTAAAGAGACTAAAAGATGATCTTGATTGAAAATGAGAAAGTAATTTCTGTATAAATTGAATTTCATTCCAACTATCAAAGAAAATGGTAGCTATTTTCCTTTTAAAGATTTTTGCTTTTTAGTTCATGATGTTTTCTTTCTCCAACATTTATTATTTTTCTTTCTTGGTAAATTTTATGGATAATCCTTTCTTTCTTTAAATATGCTTGCAAAGATTTGGTATCTGCTAATTTAAAAATATAAGGAGCAATTTTCTCACCTTG